ATTACAAAAAAGTAATAAAAAGACATAATAAAAGTAATATAAAAGACAAAGTCCCAGTACAGAGCACCTTTTCTTATTAATTTAACCTCTGTCTCTTCTGTGTGTTTCGTGTAAGTAGGAAGCTCTGGTGCTTGCCAGTTTTCATTCCTCTAGTGATTTTGCAAAGTGTGATCATTGTAAAGTGCGATTGCTTAATACGTAGCTCATTCACTAAAACCCCAAGGATAGAGGCAGTGAGTAATGTGAGTCATTATCAGCGCAATGGTATCTAAAAAGATGAAGAGTCATGCATCAAGTACCAATCCATTTAGTCTTGAATTAAGAATTTAAAAAATCACTAGTCAGATGTGATTGATGTTATCTCCAAGAAAATTAAGTAGTTACCCTGGAATGCTGTGCTGCTACTAATGGTTTTTGGTGTTAGAAGTGCTGATCAGTTACATGTTCCCTACGTCCCTGTTTGTCTATTGATAGACTTGTAGACCAGCAGCTTTCCCAGGTACTATCTACATCTCTCTTTCCTTTCCAGGTGCTGCGTACTTTAATGCCTGAAATTCAGAAACTTTGTCCAGAAAATATGAAGAAGTGTTCTGGCTTGATCAGCAATGTTAGGATTCAAACTTGTGTTTTTCAGTCACACTTACTTGTATTCAGCCATCCAGGTTTCAACCATTTTTTTCTTTTCTTTGTACTAAATCACATGAGTTGGAATATATTTTTTCTCCTTCTCATTCCCGCATGGAACTTTTTGGTCCAAGGACATAGAATTTGCCTGGACAATGTACTATAAATGACTGGAGTGTTAACGTTTCCATCATCATTCTGAGAGGGTAGTTTGCAGGTTAATAGGTGATATGAGCAATCAACTTATTTTTCACATGCTTTGAGATGCACAAGAGCCTAAATCAGCTGAGTGCTACAGCATGATCTTGTATGTAGCAGTCTGAAGGGGCACCAAGATTTAATGCAGGTGAAATGATTTATGCAAGCTGATGAATAGGGAGTTATGTTCTACTTCCAAGGTTCCCTGTGGGAACAAAACCAACAGGCTTCCCAAATTACAATGAAAAAAAACCCAAACAACAAAACAAGGCATGTGCTGGATGTATGTGTAGCTCCCTTGAAGTCAACGGGACTTCGGCAGCATTGCACTAGTTGGGGATCTACTACTAGAGGTATTAATGTCAGTGATATATTATTAGGAACATGAGCTAATACATAATAAATGACTCCTCAGCACAGGAAGGACATGGAGCTGTTGGAGCGGGTCCCGAGGAGGGCCACAAAAATGATCCGAGGGCTGGAGCACCTCTCCTATGAGGACAGGCTGAGGGAGTTGGGGTTGTTCAGCCTGGAGAAGGCTGTGGGGAGACCTTATTGCAGCCTTTCAGTACTTAAGGGGGGCCTATAGGAAGGATGGGGGCAATCTTTTTAGCAAGGTCTGTTGTGACAGGACAAGGAATAATGGATTTAAACTGAAGAAGAATAGATTTAGACTAGACACAAGAAAGACATTTTTTACAATGAGGGTGGTAAAGCACTGTCACAGGTTGCCCAGAGAGGCAGTGGAGGCCCCATCCCTAGAAACATTCAAGGTCAGGTTGGACGGAGCTCTGAGCACCCTGATCTGGTTAAAGCTGTCCCTGCTCACTGCAGGGGGGTTGGGCTAGATGACCTCTAAAGGTCCCTTCCAACCCAAAGCATTCTATGATTCTATGATCCTATGATGCACCAGTCTATGACATTGCTCGTGGACCACATTTGTAAGACATTGTACTATAGAGTCACCTTTAATTTGTGCCTTAAAACCAGACCAGACCACAGCCTTCTACTGTGACTTGATTGGTCTTAAAATAGGGGTTATAACCCACAAGCTGTGCTACTGTGTGTTCCCTAGCTAAAAATATTCCAGGAAATGTAGCAGCAGACCACAGATAATCTTTATGTTTACTGTAAATTAAGTATGTATAATCCATTTCTGCACACTCATTTTTTGTCTTTATATCAATTTCTCAAGTCTTTTGGATGCAACTTTTTTATTCTGCACTTTCTGTAACTATTGACAAGCCCCTGAAACACTGACAGTGCTGTTAGGGCTTTTCTCCTCCTTTTGCACGGTGCGTTGCTTTGTGTTGCACTTGTGATTGCCCACCATGCCTAGAACCAGTACAACATATAGTGAGTACCTCAGAGAGTCTCTTTAAAATAATATTTTATTGTTTTGTACTAGACTGCATAGGAACAGATCAGATGTTTAAGTTGGTAGCCTTTGAGCTTTCAGGATACTGCTACTTTGTTTAGGGATCCCAGAACACACTGGGAGTAGGAGTATGTTCATGAAATTCATTACAGGACTACATTTTTCTAAGTGACCCAATCCACTTCATAGGAAGTCAAATGACTTGAAAAGAAGAGGCTATAGATCAAACCTGGCAATTTCAGATGTCAAAGCAGGTCATGTGGTAAGGAAACAAAACTGTTATATTAGATCAGAGGTTTACAGGTCACTGGTCTAGAAAAAGTATACACTTCACAGCAAAAATGATCTGTAAGATACTCCATTTGTATACCTGATTTTATTGAGACTTGGGTGTCACCTCTGAACATAGGTATACAAAATCCTTGGGGGCATTACATTACACAAAAAACTGTGGGTTTTTTCCTTTTTTCCCCAGTTTGGTTGAGCTGGGAATCCCCAACAAAAGCTGTGAGAAGCAATATTTGAGGTTTAAGTCTATTACATTCTTTGAAGGTAGATGCACACAGCAGACTATTCTGGAGAGTGTGAAAACCAAACAAGCTGTGCTTTCAAAGGCAGGCTTTAGGAAGCCCCCCAGAATTGCCCAGTTATTATGAAGCTAGTTTGCGGGGGTAGTGCTGGGCTATAGAACATCTAGGGCTTGCGTCACGTGCTTGCACCTCTTTAGACTGGAATAGATTTACTTCCATGACTGGCTGCATCTATGCACTCATAGCCTTAGCCAAGGAAGTGTGAAAGCTATGAAACATATCCCCTCAAAGGTGAAAACCAGTGCCATATCCAGCAGGCACTCCTGTGTTCCCAACCAGGAGAACCATCTCCGTAAGACTGGAGAACTGTAAGAAGAGGTCTGCAGAAAGTAGACACTAAGGCAATATGTGGAGATTTTTTCAGTGTCTATCACATTGCTTTCAGGCCAATGCACATATTCCACTAATAAATCAGGAAAAAAAATGATGTATGTAGCTAGGAGATTTGTTGTCCGTCAGTGACTGCAGTGGTTATTAACTGTCAACCCACTGTTCTTTCAGTGAACACCAACAATAAGACGTAGAGTCCTTTGTTTTTGTAAGTTTGTACATGTATAAGTTTGGTTTTTGGGTTTTTTTTTTTGTGGAGAGAAGTAATTGGCCAGTCCAACATGGAGATTTGTCTTATGAAAAATATTTTGGTTTAATTGTTGTATGTTGAAATATTGAGATTTTTTTCTTAATTGAGCAATATTTTATGATTGTTTACTACTAGTAGTATGGCACATGTAAAAAAAAAAAAATAAACCAAAACCAAAACCACCAAAAAAACTCGCAAACAACCAAACAAACCACACACAGTAAAAAAGAAAAGAATTAAGCCCTTCCCTTTCAAAACTTACTTTCTTGACATTAGCATCTCTGCTCAGCATTTCACTCCAGAAGACTTTTTGTGTTAAGTGATACTAATGATAGGGAAGGATGTAGTTTCCTCAGTGTCTAACTCGCACCCATTCCTGTTGATGGTGGGTAGTTGATAAGGGACGACTGCCCATCATTCTTAAATGGCACAGCGTTGTCCTGATTGAAGCGTCTAGTTGTGCCAGAATCAATTTGAAGAGTCTTAAACTGATTTGTATCTTTTCTAACTGGAAAAGTTATGCATTGATAAGTTGAAGGGAGGCTTTAATGATATTTAATAGATACAAATCTTCAGTAGAGCTTTCTTTGGTTCAAGAGTAACTTTTTCTGTTTCATTTCAATTGGTCTCTAGCAGGTTTGCTAATCCCGTGTATGTCTAGATGGGTTTAACTCTGATTTCTCATTTTAATAATAGAAATCAAACCGGTGCAACTGCCCTAAACCAGACAGTTGGACTGCAGTGAGGCAAACCGTCCTGCGTTAATATTTCATGTTAGAATCATGTTTCTAACAGTGTGGGTTGGGTAATTCCTTGCCAATATAAGCTTTATCAATATAAACCAGTCAGTGAGAATCTTTCCATCAATAAGAGTGTTTATTATCATCTTGCATAAATGGGAACAGTTCTGTGCATGAATTGGATGTGCTGGTTTAAGCCTGCTTGCCACAGTTCAGTTTGGCTTAGTTACTCGGGCAGGTGCAAGCTGAATAAATTCAACCAACGTTCAATTCCTACAAAAATAGCTCACATATAAACTGCACTGGAAAAAGTAGGTTTAATTTCAAGCCAGCCCAAACAATCCTTAAGTTCCTGTAACAGAGTTTTCACTGGTATCAGTTAACAGACTTTAAAATACCACAGGTTAGTGAATGAAAAGGATTCAGTATAATCAATGAGTTACATCCACTTACTGATGTCACGTGGCCCATAGCTTAGAAACGGATCTGGTAACATTGATCCTCCAGAAAACAGCTTTATTTGTCCACTTTCTGTTTCAAAGTCAAAGGTAATGTACTGGGTTGTCTTAAAGCAGTGTGTGCTATAAACTGGTAACTGGTCCTTCAGCGCCTCGTTGCTGCTGGTGCACTCACAGCAAGCATGAAAGGGCTCAAGGGGAAAGGTTTTCTGTGCACTGTGGGACATATGTGGTGGCTTGCAGGGACTTGCCTGCTCCACACCTTGACTGGCAGCTCTGACCTGCCAGGGAGGATGAAGCCCCAGCAGGTGTCCAGCTTAGATCTGGCCTTTTTTGGCTGAAGGTACCTTCCCTTTCTTTTTTGTTTCTTAGGAAATGATTGAAATGCTTTGTCAGTCTGTCTGCACCTCACTGCTCCCCGGTGCTGCTGCTTCAGGCCACCAAATATTTGGGTTCGTCAGGCCGGAGTTTCATGACCTTGTCCACGCAGAGCAGGATGAGAGTCAGAAACCAGAGGCTCCAGCCGACAGCCGCTGCAATCCATCCGTAATCGTCCATGCCCGTTGGGCAGCATGTCGCCGCTTGTGTGCAGAAGTTCACATCTGGTGGAGAAGAAATGAAAGGAGCTGATGGGAGGCCAAATACGTAACGGGTCTCCTTTGCTAGAAGGCAGATAAGACAGTGACTTCGCTGTCCGCCCTGTGGCCTGTCAGTCTGCCTTGACACCTTTGCCCTAAGCCTGGCTCTTAACCTGGGGCAATATTCAGTTTCATCTGTATGTCTTCAAGGCTCTGTCATCCCTGTCTGGCCAAACACCTGAGCTGCTCCTCTTACCACTGTGTCATCCATTATGGAAATCTTTTAAAACGCCTACTTAGTATCTCCTCAGTCAGTTTTAGGAATGGAGTATGATAGAAGTAGTTAGTTAAAATGAAAAATAAACCCGGGGTAGGGAAACCTTTGTGTGAGAAAGTAAGAGGATCTCTAGCAGAG